CCTCGGAGAGCGGTGCACTTGTCGATATCCGGTGTGTTTTATGAATGGGCTGCCGCGACAGGAAAGGGTCTCTCGATAATCAGGCTTCCGTGGCCTTTCAGCACAAACGTTCTCAAGAGAATTCGCGAGCTGGAGAACGAGAAATTGCTCCCGTATTTCCTCGTTCAGTTGCTTCTGCTTCGCGTTTCTTCGAATCTTTCCTTCATCAACACTCACCTCGATTGCATGTTACAGCGTAATAATAAACGTATATGGAAAAAATGATTTTGCTTAAATCTAAAAATTTAGCTAGATTTAAATCTAAAAAACAATTTTATTGGATCATCAAAATAGTTGCGTAGGAATTTCAAGCATGATAAGTAATGCTGCTTAAAGAAAGTTTAACGTTCTTTAACAACTATAATTTGAGCGTTGTACATAATTTTGATGATCCGAGAAAAAATTATTATTAAGTCCAGTTAAATTTTTAGATATTTTAACATTGTTCTTTCCGTGTAAAAACGCATGTTTCATATGGAAAGAACAATTGTGCTGAAGTATCTAAACGTTTATTTAGATTCAGATCTGAAAATAATTTTGTTAGATAATCAAAATAAATACGTAGAAATCTCAAGCTTATTAAGCAATGCGGCTAAAAAAAAGTTTTGACATTCTAGCAATCAGTTTGATTATCGTCATACATAATTATTTTGATAATCCAATAAAATTATTATCAAGTCTAGTTAAATTTTTCGAGTTTTTCAGCACGGTTCTTTCCGTATCAAAATGCACGCTTTACGGAAAGAATGATTTTGTTATCTAAAAATTTAGCTATATATGTAGATTCAAATTTGAAAGTAATTTTGTTGAATCATCGAAATAATTACATAGGAATCTCAAGCATGATAGACAATGCTGTAAAAATTTTAATAGTCTGGCAACCAAATTAACGTTATAGAATGGGACTACTTCCTATAGAATAAACCACTATAGTGGTGCTGAAACAGTATTACATTTTGAGGCAAGAAATACAATGAAATAACAAATTTTATTCAAGGAAAATTTCCTGAAAAATTTTAAAAACAGATTCCCGTTCTCTAAAAATTAAGCACCCTATATAATTATTTCGACGGCCCTGCCAAATTATTTTTAGATCTATTTCTAGCTAAATTTTTACATATATAGGTATAGTTTAACTTCAGCAAAACCGTTCTTTCCATACAGGAAACGTACATCCAGGTGTCATATCAGCGAGAGGTCAAGGGTACAACACGACTTCGACCAGAAACTAATCGTTCAGCAAGACTCTCTCTCTCTCCCCCCTCTCCCTCCCTCCTTATCTATCTCTCTCTCTCTCCCTATCTCTCTCTTCCTCTTGATCTTCGACATTCCCGAATTTCACAGGGTCGCCCGCTGCTGTCCCGCTTCTCTCATGCAGATCCACTTCCGCAATTTCGTTCACGCGACGCGGCATGAACAACGCATGAATCAAAATTCTCCCGGTATCGGACGCGCTTAACTGAACTTCACGGGGTCGCGACGCGACGCTACGCGCCACAGCGAGACCGCGACGTGACGCGAATTCGCATTTAGCCGACTGATCTGCATTCTGCATTCGCGAATTTTTCCCGAGAATGAAGATCTCGCTCAACTCCTCGTTCTTTGGCTTCTTCTTTGCCGCGCCGCATACGTCATTCAGAAGCAACTGAGATCTCCATATTAAAGGGAAGAAGAAGAGAGGCTGCCCTCAACTTTACAGTAACTTCATCCCACCATCCACTCTTTCGCGCGAATACTGCACGTCCTGTTCATCCATTGTTATTCCGTTCCAACCTAAGTTTTTACGAAGTTCCAACGACGAACGGCTTTATTCCGAATCAGCTCACGGCGTGTGTCGGACCGTATTTTCCATTCCCGTTCAATCTCCGCGAATCGGGACTTTTCTTTAAGCCGAGAATTTTCGTTGCGTTCAATCGTGACTCAATTAAACCGCCCGACGGTAAGCGCTGCGAAGAGATTGGAATAGATATAGAAAGCGGAAAAGGGCGCGAGTCATTATTCACTGGTACTAACGACGTCGCGATAAATACGCTGATAAAAGTCGAGTCTATATATTTCTTCTGTCATATATATAATTCCCGCAATTTAAACGTAATTACTTTAATATTTTTTTAATTCTTTCCTTGATCGCGTTCTTTACTATACTTAAAAAAAAATGATAATTTATCGAGTTTTAATTTAAGAGTCCGCCATTTTGTAAGTATTTAAGAAGGTCAAATTAAACTTTGTGTGTGTAATTAAATTTATTATATTAATCTTCCAAAGCTGACGTCAAAATTTGTAACATAGTTGATTTTGGATCTATGAAACCCATTTATGTTGAATAAAAGACACTAATTAATTTTAATCAAAATGACATAACTCGTAAAAAGAAGTTTACTTTAACAATAATCCAAATTTGCAGATATAACATAAAAAAATTGAATTGTTTGTCATTTTCTAGATTTATAATTGGGTGAATTCAGTTGTTATAAAGAAGAATAAGTATGTGTTATATGCGAGTACTAAGTTTATTTAATGACAATAACATCAACTCAATTAATAATGATTTAATATCAACAATTCAATAATTAATAATTATTCGGTTAATTTAATTAATAACAATAATTCAAATTTGCAGCTGTAATATAAAGAATATAATTAAGTAGCTTCCATAGAATTACCATCAGCTTCGAGGAATTAAATAGCTCCATATTTTTCCATACTTTTATCTTATTTTATTAGCAGTTGAAAAATCCGTAGTGACAATAAACGGCAGAGAAGGCGAAAGGGAAATATTGTAATGGTTATCGCTTCAGTGTAACAAACGGTTGATATATATTCTTTCATGGCATCCGGAAAACGATAGGATTAAAGGCGGTCGTAGCAGGACAAGCGAATCGCGACAGCGACAGAGCTAAGGAAATACATTTAGTGGAAATTCCATTTAATCCCGGGATAAGGTTGAAGATATCGTAACGCCGTTGGCCTTTAGAGCCCTTCACATAATGGCCCAAAAGGGATTGGGTAGCACAAGTTCTGAAAGTAACCTGTACCTGTCGTTTCGTCTTACGATCTTTGAAACTTTAATACGCTCGATCTGAAACAACATTATATCTTTGCTTGTGGCATTCATTTGCATTAAACTCGAATATTTCGCCGTTCTCGATAGATAAAAGTCGTTGCGGATATTCGATGAAATCGAATTCAGTAGTCAGGGACAAATTTCTCTTGACTACTTGTAACTATTTTGATGAACTGCAACGTTCCTTAGCCTTCTCCGAGGTCGTCTCAATTTTCCGATAGAATCTTTGCGAATTGAAGCTCGTCGGCGCACTTTAACTTCAACCGGAGAGACCAAGCGGTGGGATTAATGATTCCGCGAAGCTTATCGCACCGGAAAATTGTTCTCCTTCCCCTCAAATACCTACCTATAATTCGCGATTCAAACACAATTAGGTCTCTAATTTCTAGCTCTAATTTCCGTGCTGACGCTTCAAAACTGGCGCATCAAGTGCGAAAGAAAAATGGAAAGCTGCGATTCCACTATTGGGAGAGCTCGTGTTCTCATTAAAATTTCCCCTTGTCTTCTCCACAGAGGAAAAGCAATATCGAAAGGCAAATCTACGTGGGAGGCGTATCAACGAATCGACTCCGTTAGCAAAACGACGCGAGTGATACCAAACCCCGAGTCGTAATTAAATCGATTAAGTACGCTTTCGTCCCTCTGTCGCCTCGAGGAAATTAAATCAAACTCTACCGTTCGCAATTCGGCATCGCCGTGCTCCTCGGCAGAAACGCAAATTTATTGAAAAGTCCAGACGGCATTCTTCCGTCCGGAAGAAAGTTTTCGCCATTCTGCAAAACACCATCAGCCCTCAAATTGAATTCACCGGCGAACTTGTCGAGGTGGGGGTGGACCGGGTCGAGGGAGGAAGTTGCACAGCAGGCGAAGAAACTTATCGAGTAGAATTCGATAGAGTATCTTCGCAGTTATATACGAAACAGAAGTCAAGGAACTCGGTGAGGGAACGGCGGGCTTTCACGGAGGAACGATTCACGTCTCGCGCCTTGAGGGAAACTTCATCGTCCAGCAAATCCTTTCTGTCCTCGTAAACCAACGCGGAAGCGTCGTATTCTCTGGTCGTTCTCGGCACATCCGTCGGAACTCGAGCTCCTTTCCTCCGCCGTTCTCTCGGACCGTCGGCTGCAACTTGGCGAAATCGAGAGATGCGAGGAGGACGGTGAGAATCCGCAACGAAAGAGATCCAGCGGAGTAGAAGCGAAGTTCTCGGCTCGGCGAGAGAGGATCGGTGTAAATCGCTCGCGTTAGATTCCACACGGCTCCAGGCTACGGAGATGGGTAAGAAGAACAGCAAGCTCAAGCAGGATACCATCGATCGTCTCACCACCGACACGTACTGTAAGTAGCAATAACCTTCTTAGCTGTCGTACACCCAGTACCATCTCCTTTATCACATTGTCGTTGTTCAAGAGCGTGCGAAATCGCACCATCAGCGGATTATATCGCACAACGGAGGCGCGTGTCCCTGATTATCGCGACCATCATAAATTTCCGATTGCGCCCACGAACGCGCGATATTTCCGTGTTCGCCGGTCGTAAACGCCAAGTTAAATCGTCCGGGATGGTCGCGATGAACGGTTGCGACCCTTTCGACGTAACTCTCGAAAAAGTGGGTCTTCCGAGTCGCGGATTCTTCCGAGCGACCTGATGCGAAAATCGCGAGACCAAAAGACGAGCGGCGGGCTCCTCTTTTGGTTTTTCCGACTGACCTACTACGTTATTTTGGCGATCCATGCAACCACAGCCTCCACCATTGAACTGCCTCTCTCTAGGCTTACTCTCTCTCTCTCTCTCTCTCTCTCTCTCTCTCTCTCCTTATACATCTATCGCTTTCTCTCCGCATTCCCTCTGTCTACACGCTAAACGCGCATCGATCGCGCGGCCGTTCAATACGCGCTGCAATGACGACGTATCTTTCTTCATTCGATAAAACGCGTTTAATCCATTCCACAGAGTTTGCCTGTCGGAAGCGACAGCACACCGTGCTTCCACGCCACGTGGCTTTGTTTCCGTTGAACGAGAGCCCGATTCGATAGTGAACGCGACGTCTACAACTGCGGAATTCTATTTAATCTTTCAGCAAAAAGTTGTGTGACACCGGTAAACTGCATTTACGGCTAAGCAATATTTACATCAAGCGGTTTTACACTAGGTTTGAATAATTTGTAGAACAATAGTAAGAATAGACGGTAGCGGTAAAAATCATTAAGAACCTCAGCAAATGGTAAATGCGACCCTCGACATTATACTAAAGTAGGCTACAGAATTCTCACGATTTTCAAAATGAAATAACGGTATGAAATATAACTTAAATATTAATTTCTTGATACATAATCATAGGAAATGGAATGTCATGGTATATCTGAAGAGAACTGTCGAAACTGTCTCTCACTGATTTTGATGAGTTTTGAATTTGTTGTAGAGCATCAAAAAATACTAGGCTCGTATATTTTTATTATCTGATTATCTCAAGATTTAAAGGTCAAAATAACTTTTCGAAAATAATACTTTTTTTTTCATTTTTAGCGAATATATCGAAACTATGAGATATATGAAAAAATTTTGTATACAAAAGTTCTATGGTATTTTATACTCTTAATAATAGTGTATTTTTCGAAAAATTTTTTTATTTAAAATTAAAATGTAAAAGTTATACTCAAATTTTAACACAACAAACAAAAAAGATCCAAGCTAATGAAAGCACAGTGCGGTTAGAAAGTCGCAAGTTATGATGTAAAAACTTTTATTACTTTACAAGAAGGATAACCTCATTAATATAAAATTTATTTATCGCATTAATTTGCAGATTTATTAAGTTAATAATTATATTCAAAGCTTCTCGATTTTTTCAGTTTTTGAGGTGCCACTTTAGGTTTGTCAATCTGTGCATAACTTTAGGTTTGTCAATCTGTGCAACCTTACTGAACTAATTTTCGAAATCTCTGTGATTTCATTGCTGAAGAGGACATCAAAGCGAATTGAAACGTACAATTTGGAATATTCATGACATTATTTTTTTTTGTTAAGTAATAAAAATTTTTGCATCTCACACACACACACACACACACACACACACACACACACACACACACACACACAACTTGCACCTCTCTAACTGCGCTATACTCCTAGGCTTAATTTTCTTTGTTGTTTAATTTATTCCCCAAGTATTATTTCGAAACCTTGAAATAAACAGGAAATGGAAAGTTACTTTTTAAAAGTAACAAGTTACTCGTTACTCGTTACCAAGTAGAAAAAGTAACAAGTTACTAGTTATCGATTTTTAAAAGTAACAGTTACCGTTACTTGAGAAAGTAACTTTTCGTTATTTTTCCGTTACTTTTTTAAAATGGACAACCACCAATCACAACGGACGGGTGCCAGAGGTTTTCTAGAGTGGGTATATTAAGAGAGTGGCGCCGATGCATGTGTCTAATGCTGATTGGTTCCGTCATTAAGTGTCCTTATTGTTAGAAAGAAGACAACGTTAAAGAAAGAAGAGGTTAAGACGAGGAATTGCATCATAGTTGCGTCATAGAGGTAGGACACACAATGGCGACTTCCGGTTAATTGGCGTCACTCTTTTTATACCCACTCTAGAGCTTTCTAGTCTCAAGCGCTATGAGTGGCGTGTGTCCAATTGAACCGTGTCCAATCGTGTGAAAAGTAACGATAAAAGTAACTGTAAAATTCGTTACCGTTATCAAAAAAATGTAACTACGTTACAGTTACCTAAAAAAAAGGAGTAACGCAGTTACCAGTAAAGTTACCAAAAAAGTAACTTGTAACTGTAACTTCGTTAACGAGTTACTTCCATTCCCTGGAAATAAGCAGATAAAAAATATAGGTTTAACTCTATAGTTTTTGCTCTACATAGCCAAAGTTCATTAAAATCAGTGAAAGATAGTTCATTAAAATCAGTTTCGACAGTTTCCTTGTGAATATATTTGAATGATGATTGCGTTCAACGAACAAAGCAACTCAGTGAGCGCTCAGTGATTCTTAATTACGTTTCTACACTTAGATCCAGAAGAACTAATGGCAAAAACCAATCATACCAAAGAACCAGTAAACGCTCCCGGCTTTAACCGAATATAGCTTTTTCTTATTTGTATTAAACATTTCTTGATCGATTTTCACTTATTATCGTTCATATTTAAGTTGTAATTAATATTGTTATTTTATTTAAAAAAATCGTCAGTTGGCCTATCCTGTATATTATAAGTGTGTATAACATGCACATTTATAATTGTCACGTGAAAATTATCGCGCCGTTAATGACGCTAATGTTAACGACTAAATATTCTCAGCCACGGGCGCGCAAAAATTGGACGGCGAGCAGAGTTCTCGGCGAATTATTCGGGTGAAAATGCGAAGGGCAGGTGTGCTTTTGGCCCTATACACTTCCAAGTGATTACTCTGGCGCTGATGATAGCTTTCATGTGGACCCTTATTAGAATTTTCGCCTTTACCGCAGGTAGGCTGACGCGACCTACGCGTAGTAAGCAAATTCGATTAATAAACATTATGCACGGAAATGCACAAATCGTTTGACAAACGTTTTATTAAAGCCACAGCGGTAGATCTGAGATATTAAGTCTACATTTTTCTACGTCGACCCTTTCTAAAAGCCAGCCTCTTGAGATATCGATCGTACCGTGATTAATGATGAAAGGACATTGTCCTTTATGTCATGTTATTCAATTATTTGTTCGAGTCAGAACATAATTACTATAATAAATGAGGATACATCAGCCCCATAAAATTCTACTTTTATTGCTTAGAATTTGCATTATTTCTTAGAATTTTCGTTTTTACTTACAATATTTAAATCGTTAAATTTAATAGTACGTTTCCTAGAGAAATCTGAAAAATACATTAAACGACATTCTTGTTTTGCGCCACACTGGCAGTTTCTAGTTAGACAAAACTGTGTCATGTCGTTCGGCCGTTTTATCACACATTGTGCAAAAAATAATTGCTATGATAGATGAGAATATGTTATATCAACTCCAAATTCCATCTTTATTTCATATAGAATTTGTATTATTTCTTTAAATTTCCGTTTTTGCTTAAGATACTTAAAATTTCCTAAATCTGAAACATACGCTAGACAAAAACGACATTCCTGTTTTGCGCCTCGTTGATAGTTTCTAGTTGGACGAAACTATGTCAGATATAGACCGAAGTATACGCAAGATCTCTGACAGTCCAGTTGTCATGACTTATTTGCCTATGCATTTTAATAACCGCCAATATGTTAAGTCGATCGATCGAATGACCCAGTATAATAAAAAGTTGCATACGTCGAGGGATACCGCCAAGTACACTCATTGCAAGACTAACTTTATTAAACAAGTAGCTCCACGTGGGTTTACGCGTGCATCAATAATGTGTACCAAAGTAGTCTATCACCGCGTCGGCACACATTTAATGTAAAAAAGCGCTATTGTCAACGTCATCGCGCTTTGATCTCGGGAATGAAGTAAATCGTGCTAGACTGAATATAAACTGCGCACGTGGCAACGTTTACGTGAATGTTTACCCCGTTTTCGAACAAGGTGCTATCGATGTGAAATATTAATTTCGCTTGAACGCGATCGTACAAATATTTATCAACACGCAAGAAAAGTGGATAGGTTTCAATCAATTCACGCACATGTTTGTTTTGCAATTAATACAAAAGTGATAAGAAGACCTGGAATAATGTTTGCGCCATCACCTTAATTGCCCGTCGGACACGCCTTGTGACAATGCACAATACGAATTAATCCCTTTAGACCCAGTGTACATTGTAATGTACATCAAATTAGAAGACGTTAAAGTATCCGTTGAAATTATCTAATTCTGTCGATATCATCTAAGAATTGATGCACATAATAATGTATATATTAGAAAAATAATCAAAATTTTAGAAAAAATTAATTGTTCAGTATGAATTATTTATTTAAATACGCGTGAGCTAAATTAAAAAAAATTTTATTTACACATAGTTCCAATAAAGTCAGTCTTGGTTAATTAACCAAAGCGTAACTGCTTATGGAAATTGACAGAAAGCTTAAAATTTGAATGTTTATTATGCAATAACATGTTGAGTCGAGTCGAAAAAAACTGTAATCTCATCCGACAATATTCTCCGGTTTCTCGCTTTTCTTTCAAGTACAGAGAGTGCTCAGTGTGCCGTAAAATTCACACATCGCGCTCGTTTACCATCCTATTTCCGCTATAACCCGTGTATGAGAATAATCCAGGTGCAACTTTACGCAGACCGCGCCTAACAAACATCAAAGCCTTGTGCTTTGAATTACATTCTCCAACGACATTCTATTCGCTTGTTT